GGTCGCTCACCTGGAGCTTGCCGGTCGCTCACCTGGAGCTTGCCGGTCTTACCGACGCCGACGTCCAGGTTGGATCGACAGCTTCAAGCGGCCTTCCATGCCAAAGCGGAGCTCGAGGTTGGACCGACCATGGGCAGCGACGAATCTTTGGGATGATGCAACGAATGTGGTGGCAGAACGGTCATACGTAGCACGACCGGCAGATGGGACTGGCATATATGTAGTTACTATACTAACCCTGATTTTGCGGATCAGGTGATGTTGTTTTCTTCCCTATATGGGTAAATCCCCGTTGGGTAATGCAATATAGTCTTGAATAGTTGTTACCGGTTCCTTAAGCAAATCTAAGGTAGTTGAACATGAGTCAGGGTATAGGTACATGTTCCATGCATGGACTGCTTGGGGCTGTTCTGAAAGTCTTTGAACAGCTGCATCGCCGCAGTCTTTTGTGTGTGTGTGGTGGTATTGTCCGCAGGTTCTGTGTGATCTTGTTGAAGCAATAAGAAGGTTGGAAAGCAGTCACCGACCTGCATGGCTAGATGGTGCACTGAGTCGCTGCATGGGGTCGAAACCAACCGCCCCAGCCAGTACCCCAGCGGGCGGGTCCCAGTGAACCAGTCAGCGTCGGTAAAGGATGATCATTCCTTTTGAGAAAGGCCTGCAATTGAACCATCATCATATTTTACAATGTATAATCATCAAAATAGTCAAATCAATCATAATAAACATGTTTCAACACATAATAGCAACAAAAGGCATAATATACAGTGCACGTATATATAGAGATAAAGTAACAATTGTTAACAACAATAATCATCATCATTCACTCTTACTGGCAATGGGATATACCCCAAGCATGCCCCCAGTCTTGTGGGACCTCCCCGTTGTATCCCCAGCGTCGATGGGATCCAGCAGTTCATCCAGCTCTTCATCCTCTTCAACTGTGAGAGGTTCAGCTGGGCGAACCGAATGTAGACTCTGGATTCGGAACTCTCTTCCCCCATTTGGATTGTAAGAACTTCTTCACATGGGGGTTTGCTAAATATCTAGTGCACATATATAATTATATATATATTTAAAAATATTAATAACAATTATATAACAATAATGGATTGAGAGTAGAGGTACGATCCGGAAAGGAGATGGTTTGGACAGCCATCTCAAAGTCTCATCTTGGGGTGCCAGTATGTGCCAGTGCCATCTACACTCAAACAAGCTGTAATCAAGAGTCTACATTTGCTGTGATCTTCCACCCTGAGCCCACCAAAGCGGCTTCCGGGGCTGCAGCGACATTCGCCGACGCGTCAGGCCAGCAAAGAGGCTCAGAAGCGGAAGATGGATGCGGCCAACCGTTTGCTGAAAGGCCCGATAGGGTTCTCAGGGTGGTTTTTTCGTTGGTCCTTGTGACGACCCTCGACCCATCCAAACCGGGTATGGAGTCGTGGTGTACTTTTTGCTTGCATGGATGATGCACATCACCAGTACCTTTTTTGGGGACGCTTCCAGTAAAATTTTTGGCATAACAATGTTCAATAACTGCATTTTAGCAATGCCAGCTCTTCTTTTGGTCATTTTTATTTGTTCACCAACTCCCCCCTTTCATCTCCAAACTCTTCAATTCTCCCAAGCCCAAGTTGGAACTTCCGCCCCACTAAAAAGTCCTCTTCACCTCTCTTCACCCTCACCTGCCACCCACCACCCACCACCACCCACCCGTCCTCCACTCCCGGTGCACCGCGACCGCACCGAGGCCTGGAGACGGAGCAGGACCGCTGGACCGAGGACGCGGCGAACTTCGCCACGCGGCGCCTGGCGCTGGTGGGCGACGTGGCGCTGGCGGGCGGCTTCGTGACGTACTGCGGGCCCTTCAACTCGGAGTTCCGGGACAAGATCACGCAGGACCGGCGCGATCGGGTAGACCGCTCCCTCCGCGGAGGGAGGAGGCGACTGGAGGCGACTGGAGGCGTTTGAATGGATGGTGTTTTGAAGATAGGACGAGGAGACTGTTTGCAGGTGAGGTGTGCAGAACAAAACAAAAGGACCGGTGTGTTAGGGGGGGTTGCTGAGGAGGATGAAGGAGGCTTGGATGGCTCTGGAGGTTGGGAGTTTCTGACAGGATGAGTGAGTTTGGAGGTTGCGGACAGGATTTAGACGTTTGGAGGCTGGGTCATCATCCAGTGCCCTGATTTGCCCTGATGGTCTCTCTTTTGCTCAGCGTCTCACCACTGACTGGATCAGGCCATTTCCGGATCGCAGTTCGTGTGCCACTGGTCCCTCGTCATGAGAGAGAAACCAAGTTGAGAGGAGGGTGACTTGTGGGTGACTTGAGGCTCCAAAAGGTTTTGTGCGTGATGCGCGAGGTGTGAGTCTTTGACCGTGTCCGTGCCTGCGTTCTTCGGTGGGATTTGGGGTGTAGGATTGGAGGGATGAGGTTGAGATGCCTTTGCAGATGACAGGAGTGAGGGAATCATGCAAGTGACTTGGGTTGCATGCTCTGATGTGAGGGTGCAGGGACCCTCCGAGCAGTTTCGCCTCTCTCATCGTTCGCTGAACGTTCGATCCAGGAGAACTTCATGCATGACATCCAGCAGCTGAAACTTCCGGCCAATGACCGCGTGAATATCGTGGAATTTTTGGTGGATGAGGGCACCGTCGGCGAGTGGTCCTTGCAGGGTTTGCCCAGTGACTGGGCTCGGGTGAATGACGTCCCACACATGTGATGGACGAACTACTGCAGTACGTACGAACGGTCTGCACTGGTGCACCCCTTGGTCCAGGATAAAGTTGCTCAAACACCTGCAGTTCAACAGAATTCATCAGCATTACATAGTGAAGTTAAAGACAACGATCCTTTGCACTCCAGTGTTGGTTTTTGAGGTCCGTGGGTGGACTGGAAAGTGTACATAATGTACCTGTTTTGATGTTGTTTCGAGATGCCATAGGATTATATAGGATTATACTATATATTTAAGTATAACATATATAGTTGTTTAAGTCGTTGTTTTTATGTGTTGCTTTGAAGGCGATGAGCTGTCCATCCAGAATGCCATCATGGTTACTCGATCCTCGCGCTACCCCTTGATGGTGGACCCACAGGGGCAAGCCTTGGCTTGGATCAAAAACAAAGAGCGCCTCAGATGAGGCTGAAGAGTCACTGCCGGTGACGGCGGCCTTGGATTGATGAACATATTATATAGGTGATTTTCTCAACATACTACTGTACCATCTGTACTTACCTGACGTGATGCCATGCTCCTTCAAGAGAACAGTTGTAGAATGCTGATTGATAAACAAAACCATTTGGATTGTAGCACCGTTTCATCAGGGCGGTATGAATCAAGAGGTGACCACGGTCAAGACATGTAACACATGTGCAAGCCCTCCCAGCTTGAGTATTGAGGATGGTGCACGTGTGTACACGTAGAATTTGGAAGACTATGATGTCATCACATATCTCCCTGGCTGTAGTGTAGCTGCGTTCCTTTTGGGGAGGATGGTTTTGAGCGCAAGGGGCGGCTCTTGAACTTGAGCAACCAAGGGAGCAGTCCTTCCAAGGCTAACGATTTCAAGCATGCACCTCACTTACACAATGGTTTGCCACTGTGGTTACCCTACTTGTATATTACCCTTTCAAAGCTAGAACTTGACCAGAGTAGAAGATGTAGACGGCACAATTTGAGGTTTGATAGAAACCACATTGCTGGCGTTATACGTATACAATTGTATAAGTGTAATTCATACATATATACATATATTGATTTTTGCACTGATATAGTTGAATATAGCAGAAGCTATAACAGATTATGGTCTACGCGAACCGCTTCCACCCTCTCTATATAACATTTTACAAATGTCCGCCATTCTAAAGGGAATATCAACAACCCCAAAGGCAATCTACCAGGGATATTCCCATCATTTCCCCTCACCTTTTGTTTAAATGCAAATGTCAGACAAGACAGGGTTTACGCTGTTTGCTGTGCTAGAGCTATTAGGGTAATCTTCCCACTCTGACTGTATCCAAGGCATGAACGAATTGCTTTGGAGCCGAACATGTGCGTGACGACGCTTCAAAACCGCTTGCTGAAAGATCAGCTGGAGTGTACCATCAGCCGCCTGGTTTCAAAACGTTGCTGGATAAAACTTCACCGGAGTAAGGTGAGTGAAACTCAAAAGATCAAGACCTTTATCCACTGTGGCAAGTTGAGTCAAGCATTGTCGTGACTGGAGCCATCTGGAAACTCAAAAAAAGTGTATCAGTGAGGTGGACGGACAAATCTACCTTTTTGCCACTAGAATATGATTGGTGTTCTTTCCTTATTTAAAAAAACATTGTCCAATTTTGACAAGTCCTACAAGTTGATTCACTAATGCCATCTAATGCCTATGTTTGCAATCATGTTTGGTACAGGCGATTACTTTGCCACAAAACCTAACACAAAACCTGCAATCCCCAAACTTGCCCAAATATGCCAAGCAGTTGGCCAACCGGGATGTGCACCTGAAACCACCATGGAAAGCGAGCAAAACCCAGTTTTGGGCCATATTGATGGTTTCAGTTTTGGGAATGAGCAGGGCTGATCACAGGCCTCAGCAAAAGCTGCCCGGAAAGAAGAACCGCTGGCAACAAGTCGTCCAAGTCGTCCGAGTCGTGGACGGTCGGAGAGACGGTCGAAGTGGACGGGCGCCTTTTGGGAGTTTGAGGCGCCCCTTTCTACGTAATTTGGTCGGAACGAATGGATCTCATAGAGAATCTAAACCTCAAGGATTCCGGGACCCTCCTGTCGGGGTGTCTTTTTTGTAGCCCCTTAGCTGTTGAGGGGTGATAAGGGGTGTCCATTAACCACCCCTTGGGGGTCCTGGTATATAGAAGAAATTCCTGAATATTCAGAATTTCCATATTCTGTTTGAAACTGCTTCGGATCTTCTATATAGCTATGATTATATAGCTATGCTGGATCGTTCAGACGTTCACGTTTCCTCGAGGTCATGGCTTCTGTTTGATCATCGAAAACGTGGAGAAGGAAGTGGATCCGATCCTCGACCCTGTCTTGGAGAAGGCGAGGCAGTGACAAAAACAAGCTCAGCTCTCCGGATGTTTTTCTCCGATCCCAGATTCTCCATGGGACTGGCATTTGGTGCGTCATATATGGCATATATATGCTGCCCCATGCACCCCTGAAACTAGGATAATGTATAAAGATATGCCAGTCCCATGGATGGTCTGGGGATGACCTCGGCGGATGACCTTGATGGGTCTGGGGATGTCAGAACGGAGGTGCAGATCCCAGGTTTGGTCCATGACCAGCTTGGGGCTGGTAAAGCTTCACGTGGATGTTTGCAGCTGGAGGACGCGCTGTGTTGGGCCTTTGGCTTCTGAATCTTGGGGGATCTCACGTAAGTGCTGCCACACTTCCAGGCGATGTGTTCCGGTTCACCCAACTGAATACTATTATACCTCGCCGAGAGGAAAAAACATCCACAGCTGCGGTGCCAGCGTTTAAAATTTGCCCGTGGCACTGATGCGAAACGCTGCCTATTCATCTCTGTTCTTCCGTGTTTTTGTTTCTCACCACCCCTGGCTGCGATGCTCAGCCACGCTGAATGCGCCATGCGAACGCGCGGAGAAGCCGCGGAGAGACAGCTCGGCGCGGTCGGCGCAGGCGGTGGTGAACAAGGGATCGGCGACGTCCAAGAAGTTAGTGATCCGGATCGGTGATGGAAACGTCGACTACGACGAGAGGCGTCCAGACCGCACCCTTTTCCGCAGCCTTTTCCGCCGGGCACGTGCCCTATAGTGGGGGTCCCCGGGGCGAGCGGGGCAGCAGGGTTCAAAGGAGCATCAAATGTGTGTGTGTGTGTGTGTCACAATGTCGAGTCTACTCTAAGACCATGGTATCACTTCCGCTACCGTTACCAAGCACACTTTCTAGACGTTGCCCTTGCGGGGATTATTTGTATTATTATTAGCTTTCTTCTAAATATTATGATGTACCTTTCTCCGCTGGAAAATGAGATGACCGATGGTACCAGATTGTCAATTGGTCAGGAGAAAGCCAGAAGTTAGACAGCATTCCTACAATCAGTGCATTTGCAACAAATTCTTAAAATTATTCAGAAGGACTTTTTTTTTTGACCTTTTTGGTGGATTTCCCTCATGCTTTGCTGAGCAAGACTTGACGCTTTTCGATGTTGGGGGTTGTGTAAATTGATTTGTTCATGCTTAGCCGGCCCCCAAAAAAGTGGCCGCGATAAAAAAACCGGGATCACCCCCAGGCCTCTCAAGCGCGACCGAAGCATTTCGGGGCGCAAAACCTTCGCTTTCGCCCTCAGGTTTTGTTTGTACATGACCTCGCGCCTGCCGAACCCCCACTTCAGCCCGGAGCTCTCAGCCAAGACGACGGTGATCGATTTTACGGTGACCTTGAGAGGCTTAGAGCAACAACTGCTGGGGCGGGTGCTCAACATGGAGCAACCTGGTGCTCAACCGGGTGATGAAGACCTCCGTGGGTCAGATCTCTTTTGGAGGAAGATGGGACCCGTCTCTTTCCAGTTTTGTATGTTTTTTTTTAAAAAGCAAATCCAAGGCAACGCGCCTTGGAAGAGATGCTGGTGCAACTCAAGGAAGACGCCACCAACAACACCAAGAGCTTGCAGGCGTTCGGGAAGCAGCTCCTTGAAAGGTTGTCCAGCTCCAAAGGGAACCTGTTGGATGATGGAGAGCTGATTGAAGTCTTGGCCAATACCAAGGCGAAGGCGAAGGATGTGGAAGGCAGGGTTCTCGAGTGGCGTCCGGTACTGAAATGGGTTCCCCATGTGTCCTTTCCCCGCCGAACAAGGACCACGCGTTCTCAAGACCAAAACGCTGTCACTTGGAGTGTACCGAGATGTACCAAATTGTAGAACAAGTCCAAATCCAAGTACAGCAAGAGAATGCTAAGAGATGTACCTGCTGGTTGGGTTACGTACCTCGGTTCTTCCTTGGATCGAACACACAGTCCCTGGGTAGCTGGGTAGCCAGGAAAGCTCGAGGAGGCACGTCAGAGGACCTTGGAGATCGATGAGAAACGGGAGCAGTTCCGCGCGGTGGCGACGCGAGGCAGTCTGATGTACCGAAGCTGTACCGAGCGAAGCCCAGGAGAGTGAGTGAGGAAGTGCTGAGTAGGAATGAAATAGGATGAGCTGCGCTACTTGTCGCTGCGCTGTAGTATCCTTTTAAGGATGTTGAGGGAGTTGTGGTGTTGTTGTTGTTGGGTTCACGGAAGTCTCATCCTCCGCGTTGACTCAGGTATTTCAACATGACGGACATGGTCTTAGTCAGCAATCCCATTACCCTGCAGCCAAGTGGTTGGATCCTTGGCCGGCAGGGCGGTCGGTTCGGTGACTCCCTGGGACGGCAGCGGTTTCTCCGCGACGTCGGATTTTTGGAAGAAAACACCGAGGATTCTTGATCCTTCCATGAAGAAACTCCAATGAAATGGGGCCCTTTAGAGGACGTTCAGGGCAAGGAAAAGGATAAGAGCACTTATTGTTTTGCTCACTGCTCAGCAGGCTTCGTCGTCGTGCTGCAATTGTAGGTTTATGAAACCCTGCAGGTCCAAGACCAAGACATATAATGGGTTTTTGAATGTTTTGATACGTCAAAACTGTTTTGAAGCCCCAAGATCCTCAACCTGATCAACCCATTCATCCGGACTTCCGCTCCGGAAATGGCAGGCTCGGACCATCCGGTCCCCGACCTGGTCGGAGTGTGCGTCGGGGGGTGGTCGGGGGCCACTCCGAACCGGTCGCACGAACGATCGGCGAGCCGCCGGACCTCAGGATGTACAGCTGTTCGTTGAATCAGTTCCTGGAGCAATTCGACTACTCCGTGAAGCATTCCGAGAAGGCGGGCCCCTGTTGCCCGAGCAATTCGTCAGGGGGCCGCGTGAACCAAACCCCTTTTTCCAGGGTTGGCACGGGGCCGGGGCATGTAGACGGTTGATCCTTTCAAACTTCCAGATGATAAGACTTTACAATCCAAATGGGTTATGAATCAATATTCTGAGTTGTTCTTTTGAAGAATCAGGTAGCGCAATGGATGACACAGCAGCCGGAAAGTCCAAGACTGGGGTGTTCCATGAAATCTGTATGAACTCATGCTCGGCCATAGATGATATGTACGGAACTGCTTTAACCCTATATGAGTGTAGGTACGTAATTACTGTAACACCTGTGTGTTGATCTATCGACGAAGCTTTCTTGTGAGGCGCGCTTCATTCAAACAGGAAAAAAGGCGCCGCTAACTAACGATGCTTCCCCTTTCGTCAGCGCCTTGGTCACAGACAGGCAGCCTCTCCTCCGACTCCTGATGCTCCTCTCGCGAGTAGCGCAGCGCATCATCGACGGTAGGTCCAGCCCACGGTGAAGCGCGTGGAGCGCATCATCGACTTCCTGACCTACCAGGTCTACCGATACATGAACCGAGGCCTTTTCGAGCGCGACAAGAGCCTTCGACCTTGACTATAAGACATTATGTGTTCTTGTTTTTGTAATATGGGGGACTGAGAAAGGGGTTCAGAGTAAAGGGCACAAACACGATCAACATGCACCAACCATGTGAAAGGTGGTGAAAAGGCGCTCCCAAAATCGTCCAGTGGGGTGGTCGACATTTGTCCATCACACAGGATAGCTCAAAAGTTTGGGTGTCTTTATTTGCGGCACATCATGTTTCTTCATTGTTCTTCGAAAGGCGTGTTCCTTTCATAATTCCCAATGCTGATGATCCGAGAAGACGTGGAGATCAGGTCCCAGTGCATGCACTAGCCGGTCATGAAGAACCAGTGTGTGAGGGTCCAAGTCATGTTGTTGTTCCACACGAAGAGGCAGCTTGCAGCAAGCATCAGAGTTTGGGCCTGAACCGTCCAGCAAACCAGTAACAGTTGGTTAAATAATTTATCTAAACAAAATAATTTTTGAGAAGGGCCTTTACTAACCATCATAACCATCCATGGAATCCATTGTTAATAGGATATGATATGCCAAGGATGATGTTCAAGTTGATGGTGGCCCTGAAGATTTCGGTGGTGAACGGTGATTTGACCAGCGATGATGTGATGCTCTTCCTGAAGGCTGGGGGGGTCCTTGGATAAGAACGTGCCTCGGCGGCGTGCTTTGAGATGGACGATTTTGTGCTTTGATGTCGGACGAAGCGTTGTGGTTGAGTGATAGTTGGTAGATGATACGGAAGATGGTCACCCATTTGGGGCTTTCCTTTTGGGGGGAGCCGAGCAACTCAAGATCGAAGGCAGAGCTGAGCCGAGCCTTGAGGGATGGGTGGGTTCTTAAAGACACATCCCGCCTGTTTGAAGAGAAACCATGAGAAAAGCATCCATTGCGAGCACCACTTCGTGACATTTGTGCAGAAATGGGTGTATACATTCCGGCATGAACCGCTTTCTGCTCCTGCAGAGGCGCTTCATCCCAGCACCAGAATCCGAATCCTCTCGTTTCTTTGGGGGGGGGGCCTGAAGGTCTGGCTTTGAGATCGATCATTGGAATTCTTTTCCCTAGCGATCCAAGTACCTTCAGAAGGTGATTAGAGACACTCTCATGTAGGTTTGGAGGGTCCAAGTACCTTCTGAGGAGGTGGCTCAGGTGCCGCAGTGTTTAGTGGCTGTGGGTGAAAGGCACTAGGAGACCTGGCACGGTTACCTGGCGCTGGTCGTTCAAATGGTGGACTGGTCCGGCGAACACGGTGGGTCCTGACCCATCCCCTGGTGGTGACGTCCCACCGTTGGTGGTTGGTGATGTGTTTTGATTGTTTTTAAGGAAGGTCCTATAACACTTATCACTATCGTTTTGATAGGTTCTCGGCACCTGGAGGTGGAATGGGGCCTAGAGTCCAACATTTCCGCGCTGTCTAGAAAGAGTTGAAGAAGGAGCCCTCTCACTTCCTGACACATTTGACACCTGTTTTGCCCTAGGTGGAGAAGGATTGCCCCTTCAGCAAGTGGATGAACGAGAAGGTGTGGCTGAATGCGATCCAACTGACGCGCCATGGCTTTGGCCCCGGGCAGAACCCCCTCTTCCGAGATCTCACGGATTTGCTTCAGAGGCCCGGTGAAGCTGGTGGGGCCAGGTGGTGTGAAGGTGGTGAAACTGGTGGTCTCCACCCATGACCTACTGCCAGTATCCTGTCCTGTGCTGAGGGATCTCCATTAGACACCCAGGAGGGTCCAAGCAGCTGGTTCTGTTGGAAGACTCCTGGTTGGGCGCTTGCGGACATGGGGTGGAACTGGGTGCGGGAGGAAGGCTCCCGATAGCACAGCCAAGAGAGAAAAGAGGACACAACAAAACAACGCGTTAAAAAGAATGTGGTTGGCATGCACTCCTCTTGGCCTCAAGACCTTTGAAAGAACCTTGTGGACTGCATGGGAGCACCGTCGTAAAGCATGGTGTAGCCGCTACATACACAGGATGGAGAAGGTCCTTCGCAGTATGGTCAGAATCTTGATGAAGCTTGGCTTTTTGAGGACACCTCATTCTCAAATCAGAACCAATCAACAGACCCCACCCACCAGATTTGGCGACATCGTTTCTTGCAACTGCTCGCGCGCAGCGACCCCACACCATATACAACCTCGATTCGCCCCGGTTCCTTTTTGGCCTCTCAATCGCAGGAACGACATCGGTTGGCGAAAGTGGTTCGATGAGAGCGAACCAGAGAATTGCCCCGTGCCGGAGTACGAAGATCGGATTTGTGTCTTGACGGTCAGAAAGGGGATACTCTTAGACCCTTAGGGATACTCTTTGGTTTCGATTGGATGTCGCATTAAGATAAACATGCTTGAACTGTTAAACCCTTAGAAGCAAAGGACTTATGTGAACAGCCAAGGTGTCCTTCGAAATCTTGGGCCTTTCATCCGATTAGCGCCTTGGGTGCTGGTGCGTGCTCGTTTCTGTTTCGCGGGTCAGCGGCATTGGTGTTGGGGGAGGATTTAAACTAGATCTGGCGACGCCATCCCGGTGACCGTATCAAGCATAGCTTGCGATACGGAGATGCCCCGGATGCCGCCGACCCGCATTTCTAGCATCACCCGGGCTCGTGTGGATTCGTCAAAAAAACATCATAAACACAGGGAACATGATTAAAAATTATCACTGATCAAAAAGTAGCTGCCAAACCTCTTAGAACATAAAGCATTGAAAATGGATACAAGCTTAGAGGAGAAGTTTGGGTCGAGCATCATTAGCATCAGCAGAGTCTCGGCATGAAAAATGCAAATTCTTTGGGGCACGACTAGGCAGAAAACACTGTAATGTGTAGTGTTTTTGCAACATGTATGTAGTTTATGAACAACGTTGCTCGTATTCTGGTGATGCCAATGGTGCTCGACACAACTGCTACCTCAAAACTTCCTCTCCTTTTTGCATACTTTCTTCTCTAGAGATAAGGTTTTATAGTAGCCATTGTTCAGCGTTCTCCCTGTGTTTTCAACGTTTTTTGAAGGAAATACATACGTCCCGGTGATGTTCAAAATGCCGGGTTCCGGCCGACATTTCTAGCACCACCTGGGCTTATATGGCTTCTTCCCATATCAGGACATCGGCAGTTTTCTTGACCGTTTCGACGGTCGAAAGTGGTCATGAAAAATGTCACCAAAGATGTCTTCCAAAGATGTTTGGGCGCGCAGTCCCCCCAAGGGTGTCGCCGGTTGGCGAAGCGTGTCAGTATCCAAGCTCTCATATATTATGTTTGCTTCCTGTAAACGGTCCCAAAGAGGCTAAACAATGTTATATGTTGAATTGATTGGTTCTTGCGAGGCTTGCCTCTATGTCCATGATTTTGACTGTGAGACTACCCTGAGAGTGTACTGCGACTCCACAAACCATTCAAACACCCAACTGCCTTTTTTGCCAAATACATGCAATAATAAAAAAAATGACAGTTCATGAATATCCATGATGTTGTTATATTATGTGTTTGACCGGTTGCGGACATGGGGCCCTGAATGAAAGGGGTTGTGGTCCGCATCGGAACGATGAGGTCACCGGTGGTTTCTTAAGACATTTGACCAAACCCGTGAACCTACCTACCCGCAAGTTCCTTGGAACAAAAATTCTATCTCTTGCAGAAGCTTCCTGAAAATGACTCGATCTCAAGGAGCCCTATACAAAGAACACTTTGTCGTCTTTGGCGTTCAAAGCAGATAATCCATGGTGACCCCCTAGCAAGAAGTGGGACTCCAAGAACTCTCTTGGAATCTTGATGATCGAATTCTCATGGACTCCTCTGCTCAGTGCTTTCAGACTGTATTTCCATGCTCAACCTCTACTTGGCATAGGGTCGATCCCACCTTGCCCACCTTTCGTATTACCGTGCGCAACGTGACCGCATCGAATACCGCTGCCGCCCGGCGTTCCGCGGCGCCTTTAGGCGTTGGTGCGATCCTTACGGGAGGATCGAGTTGGCATTGCCTGTGCCCAATTCATTGACCAGCAGTTGGGCTCCAAGCGCCTTGGTTCGGAACGCAAGGTTCCAAACTCGTTCCGGTCCGACTTCACTTCCGAAGTGTGAGGTAAGTGAGAAGTGGTTTGAGTGCCTGTTTGTGTGTGAGGTTTGTGTGGTGTTGAGGTTTTGGTGTTGTGACTCCTTCACCAGGCCCGGCATCCGGCGCTTTCCGGAACATGCTTCGGGACAAGGACGATGGTCATGCCTTCTGCTTTTTCAGTGGCGGGACCGAAGACAACCCATGACATAGGATTCTCTATAGCAGGACCCACAACCCTTGAGATCCAGTCGTGCCTTCTCAGGAGGTGATTGGAGACAGGTGCCATTGTCGGGTCCAGTCGTACCGAACCTGAGGTTCGGTACGACTGGATCCCTAGGGAAGCGATTGGTTTGTGAACACCCCTTCACCTCTAGGGTTGTTTTTGTTTTCAGGGAGCCCTGGTCCGGACGCGCTCCAGTCAGCTGGTGGGATATGACCTAAGGGTCATGGCTCTCTCCCTGAAGTAGTGAAGAGACGGCCTGTGAGGGAGGTCCAAAACCCACGGTTTCTGAGAATTCCTGTGACTTACGTCCTCCAAAAATGGAATGCCATATGTTGGGATTCAACATTTAAGCTTGGTAGCCTGGTAGCCCCTTACTTGTTTGGGTTGATTAGTTGACATGCAAAAAAGACATCTATGAATTCTATCCTTGCTACTACTAAGTATACTAGCTTCTTGTTACTAGTAGCGATGGCCTCCACCTTTAGTAGCATCCTAGCTCATGGACCCATGAATTCTACTGCATGGAAGGCTGGTTCACCGCACACCACAGCTCCGAGGTTCACCGCACCAATCACAGACACCATCTTCGAAGTCTACCAGGACCAGACCGAAAGCTGGGCCAAGGGACCGGGTGGAGAACAAGAGAAACACCGCAGCGGACCGACCTTGGACAACGGCACTGGCGCACCGGACCCCCCGTTGATACCGGTGAGTGCCATCCGGGGTCACTTGTGGACTGGTTCCATGGATCGAATTCATAGTTCTTGGACCACCCCCCTTCTAGACCTCAGGAACCAGGAGGTCCCCCCAAGACCTTCGTCCACCCAAACCATCCCAAACCTGTACCCCTTCAGGTGGTGAAGACGGGTCAACACCTGGATTTAAGCACGGCCCCACAGTCCTTGGGGGTTCCCAAACTCCACTCCCCTCCAGCCCCTCAGTCCTTGGGACGGAGGAGTCCGGCGCTCGCAAACCGGTGCTGTACCTCCTGTCCGCGGGCACGGACCCAACCAACATGATCGATGAGCTCGCGAAGCGGAAGAAGAAGTTCCCCACGGACAAGGTGGGAGCTGGAGCGGACGGGTGGGAGCGGCGTGGCGGAGCTGGCGGAGCTCGGGACGGACGGACCCGACCAAGGCATTGATTGTAGACCCAGACACGACTAATGGGACTGCCATAGGACTGCTGATCAGTTGGGGTTTCAGGGGTCCATGTAAATATGGCATGCATGGCATGCATGGAGTGTCTGGGATATCTTTAATGGTTTGGGGTCAGCTGAACAAGTTTGGAAGCCATCGTCAACTATCGTCAACTAGTGTTGGGTGTCCTTATGAATGTCCTAGAGGGGTTCAGCAGCCCTTTTTCGACTATACCATACATACCACGACTTCGGCTATGCTCAGGTCCCATAAACTCTCTCAACTCAAACTCTTTTGGGTACTTGCGTTGTGCTTCATATTGAAGTTAGCTTTGTTGGCTAGTGCATCCTTTGCAGTTGTGTGGAGTGCTGCCTGGATTTGGCATCAGGCTTGGGGAATCCCATTTGTCCAATATTGTATAAATATATATAATATATTATATATATTATATATATATATATTATATATATGTATTATATAATATGTACACACCAGGAGTCACAAAGGGGGTGCTTAATGGAGGTCAGGGGTGCCCAGAACATCCACTCACTTAAAGGGACCAAAAACCACCCCTTTGTGACTCCTGGTATATAGAATTATATACCAGCACCTTCAAAGGGGTCACCAATGGAAGCCCCTACACTACCTATGACTCCTTATATAGATTTGGTTGGACTTGTTTTGCCTGAGCATGTCCAGACAGGACACCCCTTTGAATGACTCCTTATATCGATTTGGTTGGACTTGGACTGGCCTTAGCAGTCTCAAGGTCTAGATCTTAGCAGTCTCAAGGTCTAGATCGGTCTTTTGGATTCGGACATGTGTTCGAACTGACGGACCTGTTTCAGACCAGAGGGATTACTGGTTTGACCATCATCCCAGGTCTCCATGGGAGAAGGGCAAGAGAAAGTGGCTCGGGAGAAGACGCCTGGCGGATGTGTTTGATCCAGACCGGATTGTGATTGGTTTGTTTATGGCGTTTGATGCCGCTCTTTCTGGCTTTTCCTCCTAAAAGAAGGTCCTTGTTTGGGGTTCTGGCGTTCTGAGATGTTCAAGACGACAGTCAGGAACAATGCAGCCTTCATCTCTGGCGGATGGCTGGTCTTGCAGAATTGTCATTTGGGCATCGATTACATGAACGAGGTGGAAGAGACCTTGATGAAGACGCCTGAAATCCATCAAGACTATCGTTTGTGGATCACCTGCGAAATCACCAGTCGCTTCCCCATTGGCTTGCTTCACTTGTGCATCAAGGTGACTCAAGAGCCGCCCGCAGGCTTGAAAGCATCCCTTCATCGCACCTACACCACGATGGTCACACAGGAAACCTTGGATAAGGCGCCTGGAATCTGCAAGCAACGACAAAACAAACTTGAGAGCTTTGGCCTTTGACACCTAAAGACCTACTTTCGGCACCATCCAACGGGGTTTCTACTAAAATCCCCTCCAGTATTTTGGTGTATCTCAAGCTTGGACATCACTTGGATGGTCTAGGTTACCCTTTGACTCACCAACATGGAGGGGAACCCCCTGTTTGTAGAGAAAAAGGATTTTCCCAGTGGTCATTTTCCACATCCATGTGAGTCTTGGGAGTGTACTTATGGAGTGTTTGTATCTTCAGGTGGATCACGAGAAGTGGCGAGCACTCCTCTATGCCATTTCCTTCCTGCACAGCATCGTTCAAGAGAGACGGAAGTTTGGGCCTATCGGATGGTGTGTGCCCTATGAGTTCAACAATAGTGACCTTGATGCTTCCTTGCTCTTTCTGGAGAAGCACCTCTCCTCAACCATCATGGTTGGAACACCACTCTCCTGGAATACCATTCAGTACATGGTGGCGGAAGTGCAGTCTCCCGATGCTGATTCGGTGAGGTTTGTGGCCATTTCATGGCGAAGTTTGTGTCTTAGGGGGGGTTCTTCTGTGGCATTTTTGGTGAATTTCCCTGGGGAACCTTTTTACGGATTCCTTCAAAGCTCCAATTGGAGTGTCAGATTTGCAACATCTAAGGTACGGAGGACGGATTACCGATGACTTGGATCGGGAGCTCTTCATCACCTATGCTGCGCGCTGGCTTTGTGACGAGATGTTCAAAGCGTCCTTCGCATTCAATAGCTACAACTCGGACTACCAGTACAAGATTCCGGAGGGTTTAGACATGAATGTGTACCGAGACCATATTGAAACCATCCCACCGGTGGAATCGCCCTTGATCTTCGGGCTGCATCCCAATGCGGATATCACTTACCGCTTGAAGGAAGCATCGGAGATGCTCACGACCATCATCGAGACGCAGCCCAAAGACACCAACGCGAGCGTGGGGAAGTCCATGGATGAGCAGGTGCGCACCGTGAAAGCTACTCTCCCTGGAACTAACATGGAAGTGGAAAACCACCTGTTTGTAGTGGAAAATGGTCTTCAAAGGGGCCATTCTCCACTTCCATGTTAGCTTTCGGGAGTGTAGTTAAACCCACGTGATCTTCGTGCTTTTCACAGCAGGTCAAGTCAAGTCTTTCTGAAGGTTCGTCATATTGGATGAACCACCTGAAGAACTCTTCGTTCTTAACAGTCTTGAGAAAAGTCATGAAGTTGTCCATGTTGGATGAACCTTTTCGAAGCGATGTTGCGTTTGCTACCTGCCAAAAAATGACTCCACAGGTTTTAGGTTAGAGCCGGAAACCAAACATCGTGTGGTCCTATATATAGGCGGCCGTGCAGTATATCATCTACCGAGGGTTTGCTTTTTTGTAACTTAATCTTACCTCCCCCCTCGAAGGCACTGGGGAAAACATAGGACATCAATGGAAAATCCACCAATATATCGATCTGAGTGTTGTTTGGGCGGATTCTTTCTGTATAACTGTATAACTGTCATGAATCATCATCCCCTGGACTTTGGCTCATTGTCTTTGCTTTGGCATGCAGACTTGTGGGCATCTGAATTTTTCCCACTGGGAGGTGAAAGACCAGTGCTCAGATCACCTGGAAAAGATGCCTCCAGACTTGGTGGAGGAGGTCTTCCGTGCACAGATTCACCGCAAGGATGGCTTGAAGGGCAGCCGCTCGCCCGTCTGGTGTTCGGATCTCCCAAGCCCGACATGGGTCGACGCCATGACTGGCAGTAGCGGCTAATAGAATCAGAGATCTCAGAGATCCAGAAATCCAATTCTTAAATCATGTAGACCCTTGATCATGATTGGAGTTCATGATGATATATGTACCTATATCATGTAGACTCTTGATTCATCAACCCTCCATTTTGAAGAGGATGTCCAATTCAAACGAGAGGTGTCTATTCATCAAGAGTCTACATCACAGTAAGTAGTGGAAGTTCCAACTTTCAAAAGGTTCAGCTGTGTATTGGGCGAACCAAACAAGTCTCCCCATGCCGCCGTGTTGAAGGGCAGCAATCTTGGCCAAGGCAATGAGCGGGGGTTCAAGGCGCCCTTGAACATATTCCTCTTCCAAGAGCTGCAGCGCTTGCAGCACATCATCGGCATCCTGGTCCAAGTCAAAGGGGCCCAGTGTGGAGTCCAAATGGGGTCGTAGTGTAGGACTTGAAGAGAGTTTAGAGGAGGATAATGCCAAGTCCTCCAAAACTGGCACACTTGAGACTTCATGTCCAAGTAATTTCATGGGTCGGCCGTTGTCATTCATCCACTGCCTCATGCCGATCCTCCTGAGTCGGATCCGGCCATGGTGGCCCGGTGGAGTGGAGGTGAGTCACTCCGAGCTCGTCAGGTATTGTCCGTATGAGCTTGGAGAATCTCATCATGGCTATTGAGGGCACAGTGGTGATGACGGTGGATTTGTTGGAGGATTCGAATTGCGTGGCTTGGTGGTTGTTAAGAGCCATTTGCAAGTGGTTTTTAGAGGGATGGGCTCAAAAGAAAGGGCCGTGCTTAGTCATGTTGGACGTTCCACAAAGATGTTCACTTTTCTTTGGCATCATCATATATGATGATGGCCTAGAAGTTCAGGCAGAAAACACATTCCAGCACCTTCCCTCAACCTTGTTCCACTTCATCCGGGACGTCCCCATTTGTTCCTGTTCAGCGCCACCTGACTGCTGGGCTGACGTCTCGTCAGGTCTTCGATGGGCGCGTACCTAAGAGGTGGACCCATGACGCCTCCGGTGCTGAAATCAGCTGGTTGCTCCCCACCTTGGGTGGCTGGTGCACCGGGCTCACCGATCGGTATACTCAGCTGATCTGGTGGCTGGAGCACGGGCGGAAAGACTGGAAGTCCTTTTGGATGACCGGCTTTACCAATGCGCAGGGCTTTCTCACTGGCATCCGCCAGGAGGTGACCAGGCAACACAAGAATCAAAACTGGGCGCTGGACGAGACTCGGCAGGAATCAGTTGGACGAGGAAGTCAAAGCTGTCAAAAGCGTGAGGAAGTGAGGTCTTGCCGGACTTTCTCTTGGAACACACCCAGGCTGACGAAATCCTGCACCACCTACGGACATGTCCTGTTCTCAATTGCTGTAGTTGCCCATAGTTGCCCTTAAGCCCCGCCCCTTTGCTTGAGGCCCCTCTTGAGGCCCCTATATATAACATACATATAGTCGATCACAGATAGATGGCATTTGGCCAGCACCTATTAAACGACCATCTAAGACGAAAAAAA